TATAAATGAAAGTTGTGCAATGTCTGACACTATCAATCCATGGCTTAAACTCAATGAGTTTCCCAATATCGTCCATCATAAGGTCTATCAATCCATGGCTTAAACTCAATGAGCCGCACAACGAGTCTAGGAAAGTTTCGCTTCTCTAGTAGCTTCCCCGTTGCTTTGTAGTTCGCCTCATTATTTGTCACTACTTGAATGACATTCTCTTTGTCAATCTTTTGAATATGTTTCTGAAGCAATGGTGTCACATTTTTGCATCTTATGACTCGTGCAAAGCATCAATTGACTTCAAGAAAAAAGTCCTTTGTGGACTATTAATGAGAAAATTGATCAAGTGTTGACTCATTTTATCCGACCATCCATCTGACATGAGTGTACATTTGTATTGCTTTTAAGTAATTTCATGTTTCTCCTTCAACTTTTCTGTATCCTTCACAACTTCCTCTAGAAGGGGCACCCTTAATTCATGGTAATTTGGAGGTTTCGGTCTTTGCCCAAACTGATCAATTGACTTGATCATATACTCGTTCTTCTTGAGTTCGCAACATTGAAAGGTATGCCATTCTCATAGAAAAAATGTGCGAAGTGTTAATGAACTTTCTTCACATCATTAGATTTAGTACAAGCCTCAAGAGTCCGTTGACTCATACCCAAAGAGCGCCTTTCTTCAATCACTTATTCAGGCGACTTTCTAATCATTGAAGCAACAAAATTGGTTGGCTTACGTGATTTTGGTAGTGAATGTTGAAACTTTAGAGTAGATTGCTCCACACACTTCCTTTTGCTCGTTGTTTCAGAATTAGGAACAAGATGAATACAAGAAACACAAAATGATCCTTATGTGGTAGGATCCTCGTCCAATTCATCATCTTCATCATTCAGTTCAACACTCACTTTCACTTTATCCTTCATTTTGTTCTTCATATAATTGCCTATCAAAGTTCTTATTTTTGGAGTTGTCGTTGTGCATTTTCCAACATCCCCATAACCGTCAACTATGTGTTGCTTCACCCGTTTAACTCAGGAATGCACACCAAATCCCAGTTATTGTTGTCCGGCTAAAAACCAAAATACCATCCAGGATCATTCGGTTTGTTTTTTTGCTAGGATCTTTGGATGGATCCATAGTTTCATCGGTATTTGTTTCCAGATCAACACTGGTAAAAAAAATTATTAAATATAAAACAAAAGTTTAAAACAACCGAAATTTCACTAACAATTAAAAATATTTTTTTAACTGAAAAATAATTTATTAAATGTAAGACAACACAGTCACACAACATAAATTTCAACATAAATTCAACACACCAATAAAATTATTAAATACGTAGTATAGCATACAGAGTATTAAAAAACAACTGAAATTTCACTATTATATGGGGAAAACTATTTTTTCTTTTCAGAAAATTGAAACAATTAAAACTTTTCTTAGAATAGTAACGTTACAAAAAAATTCTGTACAACACTACAACATTACACAGTTGAACACTAAAACATTAAAATATTAAATGGAAAGATTTTAAAGCAATTAAATAATACAAATTAATTAATACAGCCTAATGGAACAACGAAATATAAGAAATACAAAACATTAAAATATTAAATAGAAGTAATATAAAACAATTAATTAATACTGGAGCTACAAAAAAAAAAGAAATACAAAAAGAAGACACTAGATAGTAGAGGATAATCCTGGAACCACAAAAACAAGTAAAGTCTAAGTCAACTTATGGGCGATGATTATCCCAAAACAGAAACAAGTAAGTACTATCGGCCTGTTTGGATTGAGTAAATATTGAAGCAAAGTAAATACCGAAGCAAATAAAACTAACGACTTGTTTGGATCGAGTGCTGAGGAGTTCTCGTAATGGAAGTGTTTGGTATTGATACTAACACTTGGTTGGCAGAAAAATTAAGATGTGTTAAGGAGTGTTAGTAAAGGTTAGGAGGTGATAATAATAACCTTCCCAAACACCTCAATTGTCCAATTTTTTAACACCCCGATTGGGAGTGTTTTGAGGTGTTGGACAATTATTACTCTTCTCATTTACCCCAAAAACACAAAATGTTTCAACATCTCACTTTGAATCTCTTTTCCGCAGGTCTGCCTTTTTCATCTATTCTCCTTACTCGTTTCTTCTTTCTCAATGTAAAATTATTAACACTTCCATTATTAACACCTCATTCATTTGATTCTCCCAAACAAGGTAGAATTATGTCTAACACTTATACTTCCCTTCCCTTCCGAGCCCTTATTATCACTTTCTAACACTTCCATTACTAACATTTCCAAACACTCCATCCAAACAGGCCATAATAGTCTATCCCAAAAATAGTGGCGACTCACTGAATACCTGGTGGAACTGCGGAAGAAGATGTTCGAGCCTGGACGATGACGACCAACAACACAGCTGGCGAGTATGCATTTGGGATTGCGAGAGTGGAGTCAGCCGATTTGCTAGAAGAGTTAACTGTTTTTTTTAATTTTGATGGGTTTTCAAAATTAAGTATTGGGTCACGCCTTGCGTCATTGTCTGGCTTCTATGGTGTCTTTCCGACGTTGTGACGATGATGCGACGATGCCCTTTGACTTGTGGCATGTCGAGCTTTCATGGAGACCCGCCCAAGCGCCGTGACGCCAAGTCGATGATGCAAAGACACCATAACAAATATGGGATGAAGAACATAAGAAAGATAAAGAAGATCATCATCATGGCCATTATCCTAGCGCCGCAAAGGCTCTCACCGTAGGTGGGGTAAAGAAGATCATTTGCATTTCATTTTCATTTACCCCGTGGGGTAAGGGGGGTCGGATGTACGCAGTCTTACCCCTGTACTAAAGCACAGAGAGACTGTTTCCGGATGACCCATAGTAAAAATCGCGTCCAAAATTGTATGGGCTGACTGCTGCTTCATAACAAAGAAGCGCAGACAGTTTAGTGAGCCATTTTGCTTTATTCCATCGTATTCTCAAGCCAAAAAATAATGAATCTTTGGCTCCATTGCAAATGATGGAAATGGGGTAAAGAAGATAAAAGGATAAAAAAAGATGATTAGAGATCGATCCTCCACGTGAATATCTACTCCACGTGAATATCTACCCCTTTGCTCTCTCCAAAGGATAAAAAAAGATGATTAGAAATCACTCCTGGCTACTCTTAAAACACTTCTATTTGGGTCTTCCTCTCTCTTTCCCGCCTCTTCTCCACACCTTTCAACTCGTCTAAAGGTGCATCACTTTATATGCACATGACCAAATCACCGCAACGGGTTCCGCATCTTATCTTCAATAGGTGTCTTCTACTTGTGATAATATTGTGTCAAAAAGTTTTTAGGTATATCACAATATGGGTGTTATAATCTCCACTTTCTCCAGTTTAAGGATAATTATATGCTGTTGTTGAGCACACTGCCATTTTCACCGGACTCACAACATTGATTTATATCCTTCGTGTGTTAATTATTTTCCATGTCCATAGCGTGTGACTTATTTTTTTGGTTTGTTAATTTGTCCTAGGCAACTCTTCGACTGTCTAAGTTAACAAATGTGATTTCTCAAATGGGAGGTGATTAGTTGACGTCGTTTATGGAATCACCTTACTCAATCTCTTCTCTGTTTTCCATTTCCTCTCTGTTTTTCATTTCTTTTATGTTTTTTTTTTTGTAGAAATTATGCATTTCTGACTGACCTCTTCACTTGGCTTTAACCCCTCTGTCTGGAAGTTCATCATCATTTATAACTCATCTTCTGTTAACTACCTGCTAAATTTGTATCAAAGTTATTGGTTTTCAATTTAATACAAATATCTGGTATTAGCATGGTGAAGGTTTTAGGTGTTTCAATGGGTTGGGATGTGCTGTTGAGTACATAATAAATGACACTATTGACACGCCGACACATTAAAGTTGACTCAAGGAAATAACACACTGACACATCAACTGGAAATAACCAGTTGTGCACTAGCTCTCCCATTGTCTTGCACGTAAAAGTACACAAGAGTAGTGTTGCTATTAAATATTTTCATCACATTTCAAATGGTAGGGGTAGGGTGGTGTAAAATTTTGTGGGTGGAGTTCTGCAGTTTAGTTGATTTAGATAGAATAAGGGTCCTTTTGGTAGCCCACTCTGGACTTTTCTGCTCATCATTAGATTAGAATAGGCTGAATAATCAGAGTAAGTAGCTTATGACCTGCTTATTTGGCTGAAATGTATGTTACCGAATGCTTTCCATTTTTGAAAGTTGAGAGAATTCAGCCATTTTAGTCCAACAAATAATCCCTATGAAACATTCTACAACGATCCCATCATGCCAAATCTGCTCATTGCATTGATCCATGTCAACTTGAGGTGGCGGTTTAAACTGTTGTGGGTGGAGTACTGTACCATATTTGATGTGATGTAGTAAGGATTCATCTGGTAGCTAATTCTGGCCTTTTTCTGCTTATATTTAAAATCGGCTGTATTATCAGAGTAAATAAATAGCTTATGACCTGCTCATTTGGCTGAAATATATGCTACCAAATGCCATTCCGTTTAGAAAGTTCAGTGCATGTAGTAATTTTAGCCAAACAAATAATCCCTTATGGACATATAAAGATCCCATCATGTCAAATCTGCTTATTGCATTAAGCCGAACACAATATTTGGTGTCAAATTGCTTTTCCACCCGTTAGAGATTTTATCTATGGTACAAATGAAGTTGTTAGCATTTTCATTTGTACCATAAATAAAATATATTTATGTTACATTAATGGTGTCAAATCTGCTTATTACCCCCCATAGGCTCGTCCTAATTTCTTTTGCATCACTCAACTCTGACTAGTCTTTAGCTACACACTAGATTCAAGTCACCCACCCACCTAGCTCTTCCTAAAAATCGACATTCCTGTAAGATTTACACCTGTTAGAGATTTTATTTATGGTACAAATGAAGTTGTTAGTATCTTCATCATTGGTTGTATTCATATATTTGGTGTCAAATTGCTCTGTTGTGCAGACTGAAGGCTCACCTATTAGAACATTTTGATAGATACAACTATACCAAACATGCTACATGCTATGAGGACATATTACACAAAGACCCGACCTGTGACTATTCATTGGGAAAGCTCATTAGCTTGCATCAAAGAGGTATGCTCCTCCACTTCAAAACAATAACCTCCCCTCACCCACGTGCTCTTGTGTATGCCCTAAAAACTTATCTATTATTATGCTTGTAAGGTACTGTTTTCTGAGGCAATGTGATGCACTCGAGAAAAAGTCCAACCTTTCTCTCCACTAAAGCATTATAAATTCTCCTTGTTTAATTTTGAATTGCTATGTACTTAACCTCAGGGGACTACTGCACTGAAAAACTGGCGGAAATAATAGCCTCAAACTTAGATGCTACTTACGCAAAGTGCAACACGTGGAGGGAGTTTGCGTGTCTCTTGATGAAGCTTTCTCAAGCTGAAGGGGATACTATGTCTGTATGTGCTGATGGCGGTGATGGGCAGAAACAAAAATCATCGGGTTATCTTTGTATTTGTGTCCCAAGAATATTTCTTGCCCCAGAATCTCAAAAGTCTTGGATGCTTCGTTGCAAATGGTGGCTTACACGCCACTTCAGAAAGAGCACACTTGTGTCTGATATATCTTCAGGTATCCTTCGTTCTATGTTTGACATAAACAATTGGTTTTGATAGATTTGGACTGGGTTAGGGTCATTCCCTGGGCTATAAATCAATTGAGTAGAAGCACTCTAAAAAGAATGAATCCAATCTAAAAAGAATGAATCCAGGGTCTTACTAACCAATCTCTCTCTTTAATTTCCAACATCGGATCCTAACAAGCTTATCTATGCACAAACCCTGCCAATATTTTTTAATCTTAATTCTTTTCAGACGCTCCAATTTATATTAACATTTATATTTATATTTTTATACATATTCAGGTGACACGGAGCTCCTCACCTACAAGGCAGCAGCAGCATGTCATCTGTATGGGCGAGATTTCGGATACGTAGTACAGGCAAAAGAGTTCTTGGAAAAAGAAAACAATATGGACATGTTGCTTACCTTGAATAGACACGTCCACAACTCAGCTGGTTTCTATTTAAAAAATGTGTAATTGTTTGTAGACGTACTGTACGCTCAAGAGTGAGATTCTTAAGAAGGAAAATGCTGAGTATACATATATTGTACACAAAATGTACATCATATAAATACCTTTTTTTAGCTTTTACCATTCCCCTTTCATTTTTTACCCTTCTCCCTCCCCATTACTTTCCCCTTCCTCTCTCTTTTCTTTTCTCTCTGCGGGTTACGCACAACCCCACCTCTCTACTAACTCTTTCTTCAATTTCAATTGATCTTCAAATTTCCTTCATCCCAGCTTCAAATATCAATACCGGTCAGCGCTTCTACTCCTCCACCGAGGAGCCGTTCGCAGCGAGAAACAAGGGATGTCGTGAATAGTGGCAAGTCATAGAGAATAGAAACAGGTGTTTGACCTGATGTTCTGCGGATCTCCAGCTCCCTTCTCTTCCGGTATGGAGTGTTGTTGATTGGCTATGGTTATTAACTTCCATATGAAAAGTTATGATTAATTGATTATTAAGGTAATAATCTATTTCTTGTTTTTATGTTCATATAGGGTTGATTTTTTTGGAGTTTTAGTAAATTATACTTCGTATATGCTATGTTGAATCTTTGACCATTTCATTTCATTGATATAGGTTTGTGATGTTAACTACTAAAATTATAGTTGAAGTATTGTATTTCATTTGTATACCCATCACATGTTCGTTGAAAAGATTGAATGAATTCTTTTATTCATATCGATTATTTACTTAAGATGTTTTTGCTCCTTTTCGGTTAATGTGCTTTGATGTTTAATGGGAATGATATGTTTTAAGTGTTTTAGGCTACTTTTTATTGAGTTCCTAGAGTTAACAGTTGAGTTCAATTTGTACTCTAGGTATCTTATGATTGAAGGAAGGATATATCAAAGGAGGAAGCACGGTGAGTGCAATGGGAGTGGTGCAAACTGCAAAGGAATGAGAATGTGCTTATGATTGTCCTACCTCTCGAACCATTCACTACCAAACAGGTTTTCTTGTTATTTCACAAAATGTTATACTTGGTCATAGTAGTAGACTTAAGAGTATGTCTTTATTCATGCATTTATTTGGCTGGAAATCCTCCCGTTTCTTTTAGTAATTATTGTTGATACCTTAATACTATCGTTTTGTGTTTCAAATGGGGGCATATTTGAGCTTGAAATTTGAACCATCAAGGTTCTATAATGCAGTGGATAGCTTCTAGCAAATTGCTTTTCTGATAAATCAATTTGGTATTCCTTATCTTTGCATTGCAGAGCTCTTTAAGATGGTCTGTCAACTGTCAAGGAAATGAAACTGATTTGCGTGCGGAATCTGAATTTAGTTGTTTTATTTTATGTGACAGAAAGTGCTAAAGTGCAATAATGCTTGAAGTACTTAAGTGCTGATTTTATTGAAGCCTGAAGTAATAAAGTGATGATCTTAGTGAAGCTTACTGAAGTGCAATGAGAAGAAGTTTGAGATATGTGTAGTAATAAAAGTGTAGCCCGTCTTTGTAATTGGTCTTTCTTTTGTTTGAGTAGCCTGCTTCTTCTATATATAGAAAAATTGTAATTACAATATATTCAATTTAAAGGTTTCTAGATTTAAATTAAACTAAGTGACAGTCATCTGTGTTTGAGCTTCTTTAAAGATAGAGTTCTGTGGGTTCATATGGCACTACTAAAAGATAGAGTTTTGTGGGTTGCAGATGTCTGGTATAGATGACGGTGGCGGCGATACAAGTGTTTCGTGAATGATCAGCGATATAAGTGTTTCGTGAATGATCAACGGTGTTTGATATATATCATCTATATATAGTTGATTTTTAATTTCTTTATTGTTGATAGATTCCCCCTTTTTTATGATGCTCTGAATTGCTAATTTTAAAGCCTTGTAATTTAGTGGTTTCTTCTAGGGCTGGGTCCGGAAAATCGAAAACCGAAAACCGAATCAAATTAAACCGAACCACAACCAAATAAAACCGAACCGCTAACAAACCGAAACTGAATGTAAAAAACCGAACCGAAACGAAGTCCTATGGTTCGGTTTTGGTTTTTACCATTTAAAACCGAACCGAATCGAACAAACCGAACTATTTAAAATATGAAATTTATATGTTAATTGTTAAGCATTAATTCTCATTAATCTTAATATCATCAATAGTCTTTGGTTCTTGTGTTAGAGAAATAATGTTTGTATTATGTTTTGCTTTAATTTAGTTTATAAATTCATTTACACATTCATTGTCCGTAATAATGTAACTATATTGAATGATGATAATATGTATTTACTAGTTATTAGTAGTAATTAACTTTAATTTTTAGATAACTTAAAGATTTTATATTGATAAAACAATAAACATTCATCTCAACTATATCACATAGAACGTGTATATTATATTCATAAACTTTTTTCGAACTAGTCACAAACAAATTAAATCAATAATTTATATAGTTTTATCTATCTCGCATACTCATATAATTCAAGACATATTTATTGCTTCTCAGTTTTATCTTTCTCGCATTCTTTATGTAATATGTTTGATCTCTCTAAGTATTATATCAATTTTAAATCAAGTGAGAATTTTTTTGGTAAAAACCCGAAAAAACCGAAACCGAACCGAAACAAACCGAATCAATCAAACCATGGTTCCAAGTTTTGGAGTGTAAAACCGAACCGAAACCGAACCGAACTTTTTACTTTGATTCTATATTTGGTTTTAGGTCAAAACCGAACCGCAAGAACCGAACCCACCCCTAGTTTCTTCAACTAAATGTCCTCTTTGGCAATGTCCACAGACAATTCAATTTAGCACATTAGCCCATTCCGGTGACTATTTCGTTTAGTACATTAGAGTATTAGACCATTGCAGTGACTATTCTCTGTAGCTAGACACTTTATGTCATGTTCACAGACAATTCAATTTAGCACATTAACTCATTCTCGCGACTATTGTCTGTAACTAGACATTTAATGTAATGTTTACAAACAATTCCATTTAGCACATTGGTCCATTCCAGTGGCTATTACCTGTGGACAAGCACTTCATGTCTGGTTCACAAACAATTTCACTTGGCACATTAGCTCATTCCAGAGGTTATTGTTTGTGACCAGACGCTTTATAAAAAGTTCACATACATTTTCACTTAGCATATTATACTGATGCATTGGTTAATGTCACCTATCGGTAATCAGACAATTCATGTCGAATCCACAGACAATTCTATTTAGCACATTAGTCTATCATGTATGTTATTGTCTGTGAACTAGACATGAAGTGTCGGGCCATAGGCAATAATCACTAAAACAGGCTATGTGTTAAGTGTGATTACTTATGAACGACACATGATGTGGCTTCTCATAATTTTCTATGCCCATTAAAACTAAAAGAAATTGAAAGAACTTGAATACATTCAATAAAATATAATTGTTCTACAACGACCACATTCCACGTATGACATGCAACAATCAATTTTTTCCACCCGAAATTTGGAGTTTCCCATTTACTTCTCCTTGCTTCACATTAATGGATCACAAATCATTCTTTTTATATAAGAGGTTTGCCTAATATTGAAATATAATTCAACACAAGGCTCTGTGAGAAGATTTAAAGTTTTAATGAGTACTATATACAATTCGGTGTAGTTGATCACATCCTAGAAGCACTCCAACACCTCCAACTCCAGCACTCCAACACCATATAGAATATTTGCTCCAACTCCATGGAGAAGTGCGGAAACCCATTGATGGTAAATGATTTCTTTTACGCCATGAAAGGAGATATGGTACTTCATTCTTGTCCAACAAAAACATAAAAGCTCAAAGGAACCTGCATAAAAAAAAGAACCAACACCATTCATTTTACAGCCTAATAGCAACAAAGTTAGTAATGACAAAATTCATAATATAGGTAATTGAGCACTTTCTATAAGTTAGGAGCAATCAAAACTACCAAATCACATGCAAGACAAACTAATTTCTATAAAATACACAATAGAATAAAAATCAGTAGCATTCACAAATTGTATATAGACATGTTCTTCTAGGGGTTAACAATTGGCTTTGACCTTGATTGTTGGAATTCTAGGAGCTTGTTGTAAACATTAGCTTCAGTGTACATGTCTTGTCATTGTGCTCCATATTCTAATAGGACTTTCCCTCACGTATTGTGAAGCATGTATAGTAGTCAAATCCCTTGACACTTGGCTTTAATTACACAAATTCAATGAGTCAATTGTAACCTGCAACATGAGACTAAAAACAGCAGCCCATAGACCCATATTTGGCATACTCTAAGGCATAATCTTCATATGGGAAAATACATTTAATGTTATTTCATATATGATGTAAAATAGTATAAACATCATCATATTTTGTGGAGAGGAAAGTATTGAATATTACAACTCATGTAGATAAAAAACATTTCATTGCAGTATTTTCATATGGTCGTAGTTTATGAAGATATGTACAATGAACATTGGAAGGGGGAAGTCTACAAATTTTAGAAAACTGAGGATTAAAAATAAAAAACAACAATTTTGAACTCAATAAAACTCCCAATTTCAGCTCATACACAAGTTCTTAGCCAACAAGGTAGAACACAAATTGAACTCAATCTTTGAACATAATAAAAAGCATCCTAATATTTTTTCGAATATGGAAGAAAATCATACCAAACATTTAACACTATAGTAACATACATAAAATCTGAAAAATAAGAAAGAAATATATCCCTATAAGAAAAAACATCTAGCAAATTCATAATAATCAAAGAATAATCAATCAAAAATTACTACGGAGTATATCATAGTAAAATTGCAAAACAGAAATAGTAGAGTCTAAAATTCATCATTTACTGATGTACATTAACAAAAATGAGAACAACATCATGAATTTGAACAAAAAGTTCATTCAGTCATTTTAACAATCATATTATGAGCATAAATGAACTAGAGTAATTATCTTAAAATTTCAATAATCAACACTTCAAATCTCTTACAATAAAACAAATTAATCAATTATTCAAGGTTATAAACATACCTAATATACATAAAATTGAAACTAATATATATAAAAAGCAAAGCACACAAGAAAAAAAGGATATTACCTGATGATTTGAGAAGAATGACTAACCATATAGAGAAACGGATCGTATATGACAACTACATGAGGAGAAGGATTGAAAATGGTTTAGAAGTTAGATGGAAGAAGGATTGAAAATGAAAAAAAAGGAGAAAGAAGGGAGCGAGTGAGTGCAGACGCAAGAAAAAGAACGGGAAGAGGGAATGAACGAAAGAGAGAGGGGGGGGGGGGAATGAGTAAAAGATAAAAGTGGAGTGGTAAAAAAAGAAGGTATATATATTGTGTGCAATTTGTGTACACTTTGTGTACCCCAAGCAAAATTGTTCTTAAGAATTGGATCATCATCATCATTTTCATTTACCCCAGTGCCGCAAAGGCTCCCACCTACGATGGGGTAAGGGGGGTCGGATGTACGCAGTCTTACCCCTGTACTAAAGCACAAAGAGACTGTTTCCGGATGACCCATAGTGAAAATCGCGTCCAAAATTGCATGGACTGATTGCTGCTTCATAACAAAGAAGCGCAGACAGTTTAGTGAGTCATTTTGCTTTATTTCATCATATTCTCAAGCCAAAAAATAATGAATCTTTGGCTCCATTGAAAATGAGAATTGGATCCATTTTAAAATTTAAATGGAACTCTTATGAGAGGTGTAACTTAAGATTTTATGGAATGGTTAATATTTTTATATGCAATTGATGTGACACAGTTTAATGTTTCATAATTTATATGTTGATTTATATTTCTATATGTAACGAATACAATGTGAAATTGTTTAATATGCCTCACAAGATGGTGGCACGTGCGACGGTGCGAGTAGATCAATCTTGTAATCCGTGTGTTCATTGTTGATGCTTAATTGCTTATCATATTGAATTGACTCTAGATCTAATTGTTCATTGGAGTTTAATTGATTCAAATGTCATATTAAAAATTGGGGTTTCATCCTAAAAAAGTCGATCTAATACCAAAAGAAACAATAGACACTATATGTCGTATATCTATAAGCAACTTATGGGACATTTTAATATGCTCTGTATTTTATTTGTATTTCTAGAATCGAGGACCTTGACAATAGAAGCTAGGGGTGGATGGACCGGGTCGGTCTGACCCGGGATCCGGCCCGGCACTAGGTATTGGTAAATTATCATGATTTAATATCAAATTATTATTTTTCAAATGAAATATAGAAAATCAGTGTTAATAGTGATATACTAAAATTATTAATGAAATTAATTATAAAATACCAATGATAACCTATTTGTATTCTATTCAACTTTGAACAAATTTTTTTTTATAAATATGTACGGATACTTCAACACATGACATATGAAGATAACAACACATTCTCCTAAAATAATAATTTAAACAACATAAATATATTTGAAATAACATCGATCTCCAACAAAAAGTATAAATAATTCAAGAAACATGGATATAAAGTCATTATCCTTGAATTAATGTTGTGTTTGTAGTTATTTTTATAATTTTAAAGAAATTGTTGGCTTGGAATTACGGTATGACGGTATAACGGTATACCGTTTATTTCCAAAATATATACCGATACCATACCGAAGTAATTCGGTACGGTATCATACCGTACCAAAAGTGTCGGTATACCAAACAATTCGGTAAATTCGGTATTTTTCAATATGGTAAGTCCGGTATACCGAAATTTCGGTATTTTTCCCCACCCCTAATATCATATATCTATTTAAATTAGTTATACAATTATTATATACTTATTATCTACTTATAAATACATATATTATATCTACTTATTATCCACTTAAA